TCTCTCTCTCTCTCTCTCTCTCTCTCTCTCTCTCGCACGATGCAATCCGCTGACTCGGCGACGGACATCATCGTGACAATATCGAGTTCGCTCCGCAGACATCTGGTGCGTTCGCTCTTCGCCTCGCCGCCACCGCCGCGCGTCTACTAATTACACAGGAAACATCATGAAAATACCGCGGAAATTACCACCTGACAGTTCCTCCCGCCGCGATCCATTTTCTTTTTTTTTTAATTCGATTCGAATTAGTAGTATCTCGAGCCGAGGCAGTAATCATCGCCGGTGATGCAATCGCGAGCGCAGGTACTTATTATTTCCTTAATACCTCTGCCTGTCGATCGGAGCGAGATATTTTTCTAATGTCGAAAGAAAAAACTGCGAGGTGTTCAAGGGGTGTTTTGTATCGTCGGTTACGCAACGATCGACTCCTCGATCGTTGCACAGATGCGAGATTATCGAGCGCGGCGGGAAGCACGCGGCGTTTGATTTATTTATCTTCGCGGATCGAAATGAGCGGGTGGCTGACAGCTCGCAATTAATTCGGTGGATAAGCCCCGGTACGTTTTATTAAATTATGTCCAATCCGGCCGGGGCTCTATTTCCTAGCCGCTGTCGTAGATGACGTCAGGATATTATACCTTGGGCGAACATACGCTCTCGTAATCGATGCTCAGGGCGAAGTGCGCGATCTTGTCGATAAACGGAGTAGAGACAGTCGCTGGGAACGTACCGAGCCGGTTTGTACTTTTAGTTCCACCGACGATAAACCGATTCCGCGGAAATGATTTGAATGCGTAACGAGCGCGATCCGTGGAACTTTATAATGTTACCTCGGGCATCTAGAGCCGCGCGAAACACTGAACACGGATAGCCAACGCTGTAAAAATATCCAGAAAGATAGATCGATATACATGAATCTAATTTCCTTCAATTTTTTACAAAAATGAATCGTCCATCTATGTACCGAGGATGTTCTATAAGTCGAGGTCAATCACTCAAGAGGTGATTGGACATCCAAAAATAAGAAAAAAAAAAAAATTGATATGAATATATGTAGGTCTGAAAATGCATTTCAAGTTGTCGCCAATTTTACGTTGAAATTTTAAATTGCTTTGCTTTCGAATTTTTTTTATCAAAATTGGTCTTTATGAATTTTATAACATAAATAAAATGAAATAAAAATTGTGGGCTGCTTTTAGCACTACTCAGAATGCACAACTGTGGAGGTACAGCCTGCTTAGCATCTCTGGCAGAGATCAGGATTCCACAAATGCATCCTGAGTAGTGCTAAAGCACCTCAACTTTTATTTCATTTTACTTATGTTATAAAACTGATAAAGACCTTCTCCTCTTTCAATTTTGATAAAAAATTTCGAGCAATTTGAAATGTCATAAAAATGAATGACGAATTCAACGACAACAATTCTTTCTGGATCTGTTCGTATCAACTTTTTTTCTTGTTTTTGGGTTTTCAATCATCCCCCGGGCGATTGACCTAGAAGATTTTTAAATACTCTGTATATCTCTGTACTTTCGCTATATATCTGTATATACCATTTCCTTGTCGAAGATTGAATCGTCACGACCTAATCTAGCTGAATCCCGTCGAAATTCCGGGCTCGCCGCAGAATGCGGAATCGCGAAATGCTCCTTTTCCGATGTTTTTCGCAGACTCGGAAAGTGTTACGCGCGTGTCACGGAGACAATCACTTTCTCTTCCCACTGAGACGCGACATTTGCATCCGTCGAGGTGCAATCGCGAATTATGCTGACGAGCGGCTGATTTCCGCCGACGCGACGGAGGCGACTCGACCTGAATATCTCGACGAGACTCGGCCGAGCATCCGCTCTACCGAGTTCGTTCTTCTCCTCCGCAACTAGCGCACGAATATGTCCGCGTTTGCGAGACGTATTTATGTCGGGATTCACGATATGGCACATGTCCTATAAAAGAAAATATTGCCGATAATTAAGAGGATAGCTGGAATAAAGCCACACAATTCTACGTTCTTTTTTCAGAGATTAGCGCAAATAGAGAAATTGATGTTGCTTATATTGATTATATATATTGAACATGACCTATGAAAAAAAAAATGGAAAAATATTTATTGTGTAATAAAAAAAGTAGCAAGTTATTTTAATTTTTCTCAAAACCAAGACTTTATAATTAGGCCTTTATTCGTTCATTCCCTTGTGCTAATATAATACTCCTGCTAATATAATACTATTCTGTACACGTTACTCTGTCGCGTGAATTTTGATAAAACATCAGATCGATTACCGTGTTTATGTCCGACAAGATTTAAGCTGATTCCGTCGCGCTTTTTTTCTCGCGGCACGTTTAGCCCACGAAAAGAACGAAAAGAATAAAATAAGTCGTCGCGTGACGATTATTCGCGCGTTTTTGTCGTTGCGACGAACGAGCGTGGCGTGTGCTGCTTCGACGGTTTCGACGATGATTAGCTTTATACGGCGATAACGACCGGCATGTAAATTCGTTCTACCGCGTACACGATTCTACGAACGACACGCGGAAGCGCGGCACTTTGATGTCTCGATAGCGGACGCGGAATGTCGGTCAATTGTAATTACCAGCGCATTTAGCCGGAATGGCTTCTACATCCGCGTGCGCACGATATCAGTCTGTTTCTGCGTGAGAGAGAGAGAGAGAAGAGAGAAGAGGAGAAGAGGAGGGAAGGAGAGAGAGAACGTGCGCGCAGGGTGATTTAGATACACGCCAACCGTACACGCCATTTGTCGCGTTTCGCGAGAATCGCACGTTTTTGCGCTCTCTCCTGGAGAGCCTCTTTCGACTCGCTGGAATTAATAATCCATCGACTAGCACCGCGCTGTCTGCGCTTAGACCGTTAGTGTCGAGCTGTGCTCTGGCCTCGGAAGATTCATTAGCATACGGGGCCAGGCCGCGTGCAGGCCACGCAAGCCGTACATCCGGTCTTGCTTGCGTTGCGGTGCGCAACGCGCGTCTCGTAGACACCTTTAATTAGACGCGGAAAATAATTAACGCGCCGCGTCCGCGGCGTCTTTCAGGAGTGGAAGACGTGTCCGTAAAAACAGCTCGAGAATCCCGCTTTATTATTAAAGCGAAATAAAATTTATAACCAGCGTATATCACGGCGGCACTCGGTATTTCTCCTTTTAACCTTAGGACTAAAGCGTTCTTAGACATACAATACACGTAGTATTTTTGTACATGTATACTTTTCTAATTTAAAACGATTATTCACTCGAGTATACGTGCTTCTTTTTAACGATGTAAATCTATAGCGAAGTAAGCTTTATTTTAAATAATGATTATATGTCATGATGAATTTTGATATCGAATTATCGAAGTCATAGTTTTGTTAAATGATTACTTTATTTTA